TTTTTTTTTTTTTTTTTTTTTTCTAAGTTCTCGAGACCAGGATCGACGAGGATCCAATGTCTTTGAACTTCTGTCACGTATAAAATATTCCAGGTGATTGCCTTTGGCTACCCTTACGGTCGTTACTTTTTCCGTAATGGACTTGGTTCAAACGCGTGTCTTGTTTTGTAGCAATTCTTGCGGATACTTTGTATTAGCTTCAGGTAACGAGAGCTCGAGTTTTATTGGGATTTTTATTTGGATCTTTTTGTTGAAATTGAAGTCTTGATTAATTAAATACTTAGTTCAGGTTCATAGATCTTCAGATTCCTCCTCGTTTTATTTTCTATTTAATTTCTGGAATAATAAATTTTAAATTTATTAAAACATCAATATCTTTTCGATTGTCTAAACTTTATTTGTATTATTTGTATTGAATTACTACTCTTTTATTACTTACATTTCTCATATTCTTGATTATTGCAGAAACTTCGATGACTACGATAGAAGAAACTTAACTCTCGAATATGATGCTTCCAAGGTTTTTTTCACAACAACTTCTCTCTTCTCCAACGCCAACCACTCTTCTTAAGGTAACAAGCATCTATTCCTTCCAACGTTTCATAACTCATTCCATAAAAATAAGTGAATTTTTGCTCGTTCGAACTAATTCCAAAATATTCCCACAATATTCCCATCGAAAGCCGCACCCTGTCGTGTGCACGCAAATGGATGCACGTACAAGCGGGCGCGGGTGGAGCAAATCGCTCGACGCTGTCATTACACACCTCTCCACACACTCGATGCAAAAAGAATCCCCCTCCTCGACAAATTGGCAAGACTTTCTCTTCATCGGCGATTATTCGTCAATTTTCTCCCACTTGTGATCCCTGTACGCCGCGATCAATCATCGATCCTGATCATCGTCCCGATCAACGATTACGTCCCATGGAAATCCCCTGTCGCGCAATTTCCTCTCCGCGAGAGAAGCGTGGGCTCTCTCTCTCTCTTTCTCTCTCTTTATCTACCTCGC